AAAAGAGTGGCGTGGCGAAAGGTCAAAGTTTGAGGCTTAGCCACGCCCACACCTTTATACTTATTTAAAATCCGACGGTTGAATTTTTTCCTCTATGTCTTAAGAGTATATAGCAGAAGCTCGAAGGCGATTGGTGAAAAGGGCGACGGAGCATCACTCTCCAAACAACGTGTGTGAAAACCACTAAATCGCGCACTTGGACCAAAATGGCCGACTTCCTGTGCGACTTTGCACTTGGCTCCAAGAGACTTTTTTGTAGGTCCTGAGACACCACATTAGTGTACCAAATTTCGTAATCCTCAGTCAAAGCATGGCTTGGGGCTGACAGTTTTAATGGTCCTAGGGGGCGCTAATACAGAAAATAGGCCACGCCCACAAACTTAAGCTGACCTTTTCTATTGGGGGTCAGACTAGGATCACTCACAACAATGGTCGAGGTGATATCACGATAAATGAAGAAATGAGAGGCAAACGTATTTCCATGGCGTGATGGCGAATTTCGCCATGCTCCCAAAGCCCTGCCTTTTTTCAAAACCTTCCAGTACTGGAGACCAAGTGACCTCAACTTGCCTGCTGCTATTTACCAGAGATTCCTGGTGATTGGGTAAAAGGAGTCCAATAAGGAGCTGTGAAAAAAAGAGTGGCGTGGCGAAAGGTCAAAGTTTGAGGCTTAGCCACGCCCACACCTTTATACTTATTTAAAATCCGACGGTTGAATTTTTTCCTCTATGTCTTAAGACTATATAGCAGAAGTTTGAAAGTGATTGGTGAAAAGGGCGACGGAGTATCACTCTCCAAACAACGTGTGTGAAAACCACTAAATCGCGCACTTGGACCAAAATGGCCGACTTCCTGTGCGACTTTGCACTTGGCTCCAAGAGACTTTTTTGTAGGTCCTGAGACACCACATTAGTGTACCAAATTTCGTAATCCTCAGTCAAAGCATGGCTTGGGGCTGACAGTTTTAATGGTCCTAGGGGGCGCTATTTCAGAAAATAGGCCACGCCCACCAGATGTTCACATCAGATCTTTTGGGGGGCCGGACTAGGATCACTCACAAGAAGTTTCGTGACGATATCTTTGGAAATGACAAAATGGGAGGCAAACGTAAGGCCACGGCGGTACGCCTGAATTCGCCGCGCCGCCACAGCCCCGCCCTCTGCCGAAAACTCCCATAAAGTGACGCCAAGCAACCCCCACTTGTCTTGAGTTACCAGCTACAAATTTGTGGTGATTAAGTGAAATGGGGCAATTTGGGACCTTTCACAGTAAAACTTGATCTTTTTGGTCCTGAGGGGGCGGGGCTTGTGTGATGTCATCATCCGACCATTCAATTTACTTTGTGGGTGGATGACGAATGACCACAGAAAGTTTGGTAACTCTATTCCATTCAGTTATGAAGTTATAGCAATTTAAATATTTTTGGCGAGTAGTCAAACTTCGAGGCCTGGCCCCGCCCCTTCAACATATACGAAAACTCAGAATTCTCATCTCATTTTGTTCGCCCATCCCTTCTTAGCAATTTTACACAATTTTTGAGACGATCGTGCGAAAAATGATCGAGCAATCCAATCAGGAACGGACCCTAAAAACGGCAAAAACTGCAAAAAATCGCCATTTCAACCCAAAATGGCCGACTTCCTGTTTGATATTGACCATGGTTGCAAGAGACTTTTCTGTGCGGACTGTTGAGTACTACAAGTGTACCAAATTTCATAACTGTACGATAAACTAAGCTTTATGGAGAGGGTTTTTTTTCACTTTCTAGGGGGCGCTGTTCAGCCATTTTCTTTGTGATTTTTTTGGGACCTTTAAAATATCAAATTTTTCACCAGGCCTGACAAGTTTGCAAAATATTGTGAGTTTTGGGGTATGTTAAGGTCCCCAAAAAGCCGTTCAAAGCAGGCTAAGAATAATAAAAAATAATAATAAACAGAGCAAAAACAAGAGGCCTTCGCAGCGCTTTGCTGCTCGGGCCTAATCAGAGCAAAAACAAGAGGCCTTCGCAGCGCTTTCGCTGCTCGGGCCTAATCAGAGCAAAAACAAGAGGCCTTCGCAGCGCTTTCGCTGCTCGGGCCTAAATATCATTTCTATAGCGCCTCTCAAGATAAAAATCACGAGGCGCTTCACAAAAACAAAACAAAAAATGTAAAAATATAAAAAAGCATTTAGAAAATGTTTAAAAATATATTTAAAATGAGCAAAAACAGACAATTGGGATTTAAAAGAAAAAATGTAAAGAAAGAGAGAGAGTGAACAGGAAAGAGGGAAATCAGTGGATCCTGAGGAAGGTGGAATAGGTGGGGAGAGCAGAATAAAGAGAGAGAGGTGAAGAAGGTCATACAGAAGCCAGCTTGAACAAGTGAGTCTTCAGCTGCTTTTTAAAGGAGACCACTGAGTCCACTGATCTCAGACTCCGGGGGAGATTCCTGACAGAAGGTTTGGTGTGAGAAGCAAGCTGACCAAGAGAGTCTCTGACTTTGGGAACCAGCTTGTCTGGGGCACAGATGAGGATCTCAGTCTTATCTTCATTCAGCTGAAGAAAGCTCCCACCATCCAGGTTCTGATAGAGTCTAAGCAGGTGTGGAAAAGCTGCAGCTTAGACATCTCATGGGGCTTAAAGGGGATGTACAGTTGGATGTCATCTGCATAAAGATGGTAGGAGATTCCTTTGAAGGAGCTCAGGATGTGCTGCTGGGTAAAAACGAAGGCACTATCATCCCTGCACAATTAAAAAAATATAGTATTTTCAATTGGGACAGCCTTGAGCGTATCACCCGAGGCTCTGCAGAGGTGATGCTGCGTCCTCCTTCGCAGGAGCACTTTCAGTAGGTCGACCTCGTCGGTAAGCAGTGCAAAAGTGTGGAACCACCACATTCACGGCTTTCACAAAACAACTTAAATGTGGCTTGTCAGCACCTACAGCTGCCAACACTAAAAGCAAACCTGTTTTGATGCTCTGATAAAATGTTGTGATGTATTTTTTCTTAAATGTATGGTAAGGGTTTGCATTTGTGTTTTGTATTAGATAGTACATATGTTGTGTTTTATTTTTCCTTCTTTTTCTCCTTTTAAAGAGTAACTAAACCCCCAAATAACTTATTTTGCTTGTAAAATGTATATTTGGGTTTTTACAAATGCAATCTTTCTGTTTCTGTGCAGTTTTTGACATGTTTGTGTGAACTTCATTCAATCTAGAATTTAGATCTACAACGTCTCAGTGCTGCCCCCTGTGGCAGAACAGCGGCTACTGCATTTTAAACTTATGATTGGCTGGTGCTGGAACAATTTCACGTCATCGGTACAGACTCCTCCCACTCCCCCTCCCTCCCAGGATGGAAATCCCCCACACTTGGCCATGCCACTCTGTGCCTCCTGGCATCGCCCACTTTCATAGCATTTTTTAAATCTTGACTAGGGGCGGAGTTACGTTTTCTGATGGTGTTTTTACCTTTTACAATGAGGACAGATGAAAACTAGCCTTTTGACTAATTCTGGCTTTTTTAAAATCAGGTGTATTCATGTGTTTTATTAAATGCCACTGTCCCATTTTAAATAAACGATAAAATAAAATAAAAATAAATTTGATTAACAGTTTTGGTCCTGCTATGGAGAATGCTCTATCCCTCTAGTCTTTAGCCGAGCTCTAGGAGCCACCAGCAGCAACCAGCTCTCGGAGTGGAGCATTCGAGCAGGGACATTTGGTTGCAACAACTCCGCTAGATATGCTGGAGCCAGTTCATTCAGAGCCTTAAAAACTATTAAAATTAGTTTAAAAATAACTCTAAAATCAACAGGCAACCAGTGAAATGCAGCCAGAACAGGTGTCATGTGATCAAACTTTCTTTTACCAAACAAGAATCTCGCTGCAGCTTTCTGAATGAGCTGCAGACGAGCCACAGTACCCACAGTCTCATGATCCTGTCTAGATACAAATAGGGAAGAATTGTTACTTCCGAACTCGCACTCAACACTGAACACTAACACTGAACACTTATACTCAACACTAACACTCAACACTAACACTGAACACTAACACTCAACACTAACACTCAACACTAACACTGAACACTAACACTGAACACTAACACTGAACACTAACACTGAACACTAATACTCAACACTAACACTCAACACTAACACTGAACACTAACACTGAACACTAACACTGAACACTAACACTGAACACTAACACTGAACACTAACACTGAACACTAACACTGAACACTAACACTGAACACTAACACTGAACACTAACACTCAACACTAACACTCAACACTAACACTCAACACTAACACTCAACACTTATACTCAACACTAACACTCAACACTAACACTCAACACTAACACTCAACACTTATACTCAACACTAACACTCAACACTAACACTCAACACTAACACTCAACACTAACACTCAACACTAACACTCAACACTAACACTCAACACTTATACTCAACACTAACACTCAACACTAACACTCAACACTAACACTCAACACTAACACTCAACACTAACACTCAACACTTATACTCAACACTAATACTCAACACTTATACTCAACACTAACACTCAACACTTATACTCAACACTTATACTCAACACTAACACTCAACACTTATACTCAACACTAACACTCAACAGTAACACTGAACACTTTTTTAAGGTTTTTCTTTTTTTTCTGTTACTTATATGGAAGGTCGTTAATTCAATTCAAATTCAATTCAAAAATACTTTATTAATCCCAGAGGGAAATTGATTTACTTGTTTGTATGTAATGTACTTGTATGCTGCTTTATGTCATTTCTGACCTATACTGTTTTTTCCTGTTGTTATTTGTTCGATGGCTGCTTTGTTCTTAACCACCTGTACTTATTCATATCTTGTTGGTTTGTAAGATATGCGCTGTATTTGTTAATTTGTACAATAAAGAAAAAATTATATCGAACGCGATGACGTAAGGCGTAAGCGGCATCATTTTGTCTGCTCAGTATTCTGCGCATGCGCCTTCCACAGTCCGCTGACCGAATGACGCTATGCTGTTATTTTTATCGCGGTGACCTAATCAGGACTTGGGTTCCCTCCGCGGCTTTCTGTTCCGTCTTTACCCGGACTCCTGGCGTTGTTATCGGCCTTTCCTCACCCGCACAGCACGGTGGACTTCCCCGGAGGACCGGCCGGGTCGGTGGAGCTGCTGACCGGACCGTCTCGACTGGGTTTTAAACGGTGAGTTCACCGACATTTCTGGGTAAAGTCCGAAGCAGCGTCGGGTGAAGTTCCGTTACCGGGGCCTGAAGTTAAAGTTTGCTCCGAGTGTCTGTACGTAGCGAGTGTGTGTGTCCGGACCGGTTTTACAGGAACCTTTCCGGTGCTTTTACGTGAAAACACACCGATAAAGAGAGAGCGTCTCCCTCGAGCGAGAGTTCTGGAAATGTGGCCCAGTTTGGTCTGAGAGTGGACCCGAACTCATCTGGCCCTCAGCAATTTCCACCAGAGCCACAGTCCGAACCCCCGTTTTAATAATAATAATAATGATAATAATAATAATAATAATAATGAAAACCACAGCCTCCAAATGTAATTTCTTTTGAATGGACCTGGACTCCCTCTGGCTGATCCAGTTATATAACACTGTTATTATTATTATTATTATTAATATTATTTTATTAGACTTTCTCTTCTTTCATCTACAGTTTATACTCAAACTTTCATTTCTCTGCAGCTCTAATTCATCTTTTTTTCAATAAAACAAAGTGAAACACAACACAAATAATAAAAAGTTGCTTTTAGACCCACCTGTAAACAATCTCACCAGAACCAGCGATACACATCAAGTTTGTAACTGGCTCAGAAACCAAGTTTATTTATTATCTGGTAAATAAATAAATAAAATGTAAAGTTTAAAGAAGCAATCAGCTGGTGATCAGAACCCATCCTGACTGACCCAAATGAAGATGAACGCATCAGAATCAGTGATCTAACGCAGGGGTCGGCCACCTTTTCCCATCAGAGCCGTTACCTGTTTCCCACACCGAGCCACAGCAGCCGGCGCTGCGGGTGGTCCTACCGGGCCTGGGTGAGTGTAAATGGTTGACAAACAAAACTTGAGAGGACAAATACAGTATGGAAAACTTACATACAGATTTTAAGACCTAGTTGTCAAAATTCAAGACTTTTAAAAGACCTTTTAAGGTATTATTTCCAGATTCCTAAATTCAATGCGATTAAGGCTTTTTAAAGCCCCAGTGTGTAATATTTTACTATAAATCCTCTTTCCACTTCACAAACTTGTCCTTTTTCAGAATATTTCTCACCAACATTAATTCTAAATATTCCTTCGTCGTCCTCTTCCTCCGCTTATCCGGGTCCGGGCCACGGGGGCAGCATCCCAACTAGGGAGCTCCAGACCGTCCTCTCCCCGGCCACCTCCACCAGCTCCTCCGGCAGGACCCCAAGGCGTTCCCGGACCAGATTGGAGATGTAACCTCTCCAACGTGTCCTGGGTCGACCCGGGGGCCTTCTGCCGGCAGAACATGCCCGAAACACCTCCCCGGGGAGGCGTCCAGGAGGCATCCTGACCAGATGCCCAAACCACCTCAACTGACTCCTTTCGATCCGGAGGAGCAGCGGTTCTACTCCGAGTCCCTCCCGAATGTCCGAGCTCCTCACCCTATCTCTAATGCTGAGCCCGGCCACCCTACGGAGGAAACTCATTTCGGCCGCTTGTATCCGCGATCTCGTTCTTTCGGTCATTACCCAAAGCTCATGACCATAGGTGAGGATTGGGACGTAGATCGACCGGTAAATCGAGAGCCTGGCTTTCTGGCTCAGCTCCCTCTTCACCACGACAGATCGGCTCAGCGTCCGCATCACTGCAGACTCCAAACCAATCCGCCTGTCGATCTCCCGATCCCTCCTACCCTCACTCGTGAACAAGACCCCGAGATACTTAAACTCCTCCACTTGAGGTAGGACCTCTCCCCCGACCCGGAGGTGGCAAGCCACCCTTTTCCGGTCGAGAACCATGGTCTCAGATTTGGAGGTGCTGATCCTCATCCCAGCCGCTTCACATTCGGCCGCGAACCTACCCAGCAAGAGCTGAAGGTCGGAGCTGGATGAAGCTAGGAGGACCACATCATCCGCAAAAAGCAGAGACGAGATTCTCCTGCCACCAAACTCGACACACTCCACACCACGGCTGCGTCTAGAAATTCTGTCCATAAAAGTGATGAACAGAACCGGTGACAAAGGGCAGCCCTGGCGGAGTCCAACCCTCACTGGGAACAGGTCCGACTTACTACCGGCTATGCGGACAAAACTCACGCTCCTCTGGTAAAGGGACTGAATGGCCCTTAACAAAAGGCCACCCACCCCATACTCCTGGAGCGCCCCCCACAGGGTGCCCCTGGGGACACGGTCATAAGCCTTCTCCAAATCCACAAAACACACGTGGATTGGTTGGGCAAACTCCCATGCCCCCTCCATCACCCTTGCAAGGGTACAGAGCTGGTCCACAGTTCCACGGCCAGGACGAAAACCACATTGCTCCTCCTCTATCTGAGATTCAACTATCGATCGGACCCTCCTCTCCAGTAGCTTGGAGTAGACCTTTCCAGGGAGGCTGAGGAGTGTGATCCCCCTATAGTTGGAACACACCCTCAGGTCACCCTTCTTAAAGATGGGGACCACCACCCCGGTCTGCCACTCCACAGGAACTGCCCCCGATGACCACGCAATGTTGCAGAGACGTGTCAACCATGACAGCCCTACAACAACTCCCGACCCGGTCCCAACGTGTCAGTACCAGAACTCCTGACCCGGTCCCAACGTTTCAGTACCAGAACTCCCGACCCGAACTCCCGACCCGGCCACAAAGTGTCAGTACCAGAACTCCCGACCCGAACTCCCGGCCCGAACTCCCGACCCGGCCACAAAGTGTCAGTACCAGAACTCCCGACCCGAACTCCCGACCCGGCCACAAAGTGTCAGTACCAGAACTCCCGACCCGAACTCCCGACCCGAACTCCCGACCCGACCACAAAGTGTCAGTACCAGAACTCCCGATCCGGTCCCAGCGTGTCAGTACCAGAACTCCCGATCCGGTCCCAGCGTGTCAGTACCAGAACTCAATATTCTTTATTATTGTTATTATCAGTGAGAGGAAAGGAAAACTTTATTCTGCTGAAAAATTAGCTGCAAATATTCAACATTATTCTGTTGGACTTGTGCTGGTTATCGATGGGCTACGTTCACACGGCAGGCAGAAGCACACCAAACCTGCTTCCCCCCACAGGCAAACATCTGAGTTTTTATGACAGTCTGAACGCACAGATCCGATTCTCCGGACGCCAACTCAGCACACGATCAACAGAACATAGAAAGAAGGGAACGAGTCGGACACACAGGAGGGACACGGTGATCAGCGGAGAGGGAGCAGGCAGGCGATCTCGTGGATAAAAGGAAGTGACATCATCAACATCTGGAACATTAAACATGTGTTCAGCTCAACTAGAATCAAATAGAGTCTTTTATGTTTAAAACTCAAACAAGAAAATTATTTAGCTAATTTTTATGTTTTAGCCTCTCTTAACTTTCTGAGCTTGACAAAGTATTTGGTTTTTGTCTGAATCCAACACAAACATCAGCTGACAGGAAGTCAGTAGGACTCCAGGAGCGGGGTTAGGGCACACCTGTGTAAAGGTGGAGCCTGAAGGTTGGTTTATGCTTGACGCGTCCGCGAGGTCCGCACGGCTCCGCGCGGAAAAGTTGCGTCATTTTAACAACCACGCCCCTCCACCGCGCCTCCGCACGGCCCCAAATTTCCGCACCGCGCACCTGGGAAATTTTCTAACCACGAGGACGGTCAGACGCAGAAAAACATGGCGGACCGGCAAGAACTAGTATGGCGGAGGTTGGTAAATACAGACATTTGTATGATTCAGCTCTCAGAGATCACCGTGATCAACATGTTGTTAATAATTCTTGGAGAGAAATAGCTCGCACTGTCGGAAAAGACGAGGACGCTGTTAAAAATGCTGGAATGCCATGTTGTAAACAGTAATTTCTACTTCTACTATGGTGTAGTGTTGGATGCATGCCGTAGAGCTCCATGCTGCCCCCTACAGTTTGGGAGAATATTGGCTCACCGCAGAGACGAGCCGCACGAACCATAAACGCTGCGAGTTGTGAAGCGCGTTCCATCCGCGAGCCGCATCACCAAGCGGAAAGTGAATGCGTCAAGCATAAACCAAGCTTTATCTGAATGATTACATGTTGCTGCTGGACCCTGAGTCAGGCTTTCTAACCTGTTATTGACCAGACTTACTTTGTTCCTTTTGTCAGATGTGTGATGTCAGAGAGCGGGAGGGGGGGTAGCTGGGCAGAAGTCATCTGACGTGTCACAGCGCCTGATTCCCGGGACCTGAACAGGGATGCCACGGCCCAGCTCGGTGCGACCCATCAGGGCGGAGGCTCTGGTGACACTGTTGGAGGGTGAATTGGACCGGGTGGTTCTGATCGACAGTCGGTCTTTTGTGGATTACAACACCTCTCACATCCTGGAGGCAGTAAACGTGAACTGTTCTAAGCTGATGAAAAGGAGGCTGCAGCAGGACAAGGTCCAGATTGCTGAGCTGCTGCAGCACTCAGCTAAGAAGAAGGTACACACGAAGGTAGACCAGGTAGACAGGAAGTTAGAGAGATAAACAGGAAGTTAGAAAGGTAAACAGGAAGCTAGATCAGGTAGAAAGGAAGCCAGAGAGATAGACAGGAAGTTAGACCAGGTAGACAGGAAGTTAGAAAGGTAAACAGGAAGTTAGGAAGGTAAACAGGAAATTAGACCGGGTAGACAGGAAATTAGACCGGGTAGACAGGAAGTTAGAAAAGTAAACAGGAAGTTAGGAAGGTAAACAGGAAATTAGACCAGGTAGACAGGAAGTTACAGAGATAAGCAGGAAACTAGAAAGGTAGACAGGAAGTTAGACCGGGTAGACAGGAAGTTAGACCAGGTAGACAGGAAGTTAGAAAGGTAAACAGGAAGTTAGGAAGGTAAACAGGAAATTAGACCAGGTAGACAGGAAGTTAGAAAGGTAAACAGGAAGTTAGGAAGGTAAACAGGAAATTAGACCGGGTAGACAGGAAGTTAGAAAGGTAAACAGGAAGTTAGGAAGGTAAACAGGAAATTAGACCAGGTAGACAGGAAGTTAGACCGGGTAGACAGTAAGTTACAGAGATAAGCAGGAAACTAGAAAGGTAGACAGGAAGTTAGACCGGGTAGACAGGAAGTTAGACCAGGTAGACAGGAAGTTAGAAAGGTAAACAGGAAGTTAGGAAGGTAAACAGGAAATTAGACCAGGTAGACAGGAAGTTAGAAAGGTAAACAGGAAGTTAGGAAGGTAAACAGGAAATTAGACCAGGTAGACAGGAAGTTAGAAAGGTAAACAGGAAGCTAGGAAGGTAAACAGGAAGTTAGACCGGGTAGACAGGAAACTAGAAAGGTAGACAGGAAGTTAGAAAGGTAGACAGGAAGTTAGAAAGGTAAACAGGAAATTAGACCAGGTAGACAGGAAGTTAGAAAGGTAAACAGGAAGTTAGGAAGGTAAACAGGAAATTAGACCAGGTAGACAGTAAGTTACAGAGATAAACAGGAAGGAAGAGAGATAAACAGGAAGTTAGACAGGAACCTTGTTTTTAGCGTGCTCTACTTTGTTCTGGTCACATCATCTCGTGTTTTGTGATTCTTGGGTTGGGGCTACAGACCAATCAGGAGGTCGTTGTTTACGATCAGAACTCTTCGGACCCGGCTCTTCTCGCTGCTGACTCCTTCTTGAGCGTCCTGCTGGTGAAACTGGAGAGGAGTTTCTCTTCTGTGCTGCTCCTCTCAGGTGAGTGCTGACTTCGCCTCTTGATCAATCGGGTCAGAACATGGTTCTGTCACTCTGAAAGCCAGCTGAAGGTTCCAGCACACGTTTGGTCCAGATGGTACCGGAGGATGGATTCTGTTCTGGAGCTGTTCAGAAACAAACTGAAAGTTCTGTGGTCATAAAAAGGTCCAAAAACTGAGTTTGGGGAGATCTTCTGGGGTTCTTTAGTAGAACTTCAGTGGTTCATTTGGTTGTTTTAAAGCAACAGAAACCTTCAAGTTCTGATAGCCATTAAAATCTGAGTGAACAGAACCACGAGGCTGGTTAGAACCTCCTGATTCTGGTCCAAGCTGATGGGAGGTTCATGTCTTTAGTAAGCAACACTGTGCTGGTGCTCGTTAGGAGAACCAGGAGCTGACCTGAACCAGATAAGGAACTAATGGGCCATTCCCATCTGTACCGGGTCGGCCCGGGCCGGGTAGCCCCAGTCGGCCCCAGCCTGGCCCGGTTGATTCCACACATCCTTGTCTTAAGCCCATGTGGGCTGATTCTACCCACCAATCAGAGGCTTGCTCTAATGGAAGGTGTGAATTTGCTGTCAGCAGTGGGTGTGTTGGCCCTGGTCGGCCTGAAGCAGACAACCTCGAGAAGAGGGCTGAGAATGAGCCTTGGTTGGCCCGGAACAATACCAGGCCACCCGGATATGTAAACAACCTACGCTACCCGGCCCGGGCCGACCCGGTACTGATGGGAATGGCCCACTAATGTTTCTGTAACCAGAACTTTCCTGTTTAGAACGGGTACAACAGGTTACCTCTGTTCTTTGTGTCAGGTGGGTTCTCCGAGTTCTCCCTGCTTTTCCCGGGTCTCTGCGAGGGGAAGTCCACTCTGGTGCCGTCCTGCGTCTCTCAGTCTTGTCTCCCTATCACCAACGTTGGGCCGACCCGGATCCTGCCTCACCTGTACCTGGGCTGCCAGAGAGATGTGCTCAACAAGGTAGAACACCGTGGTTCTGAAGAGGGTGGCCTTTTCTGTTCCTGTCTAACTCAGACAAGCAGAGTTTGACCTTATGTTGCTGTCTGGCTGCTTCCTGAAGCAGCAGCAGCACCTGGACCGTAGGATGTGCGTCGTGTTTAAGGACTGAGCGGTGGACCGTCTGTAACGACCGGTGATGAATGAAACTGATGCCGCTCTTCTCGTCTCCTCCCAGGACCTGATGCAGCAGAATGACATCGCCTACGTTCTGAACGCCAGCAAGACCTGTCCCAAACCGGACTTCATCCCAGACTCTCGCTTCCTGAGGGTTCCCGTCAACGACTCGTTCTGTGAGAAGATCCTGCCCTGGTTGGACCGATCCGTGGAGTTCATAGGTGGGCGTCACGGGCCGGTACCGGTACCAGGTAACCTGTTCCGCCGCTCCCAGCTCAGCCCCATTGTGTTGTGTTTCAGAGACGGCCAAAGCGTCAGACGCTCGGGTTCTGGTCCACTGTCTAGCAGGGATTTCCCGCTCAGCCACCATCGCTATCGCTTACATCATGAAGAGGATGGACATGTCATTGGATGAGGCGTACAGGTCAGGATTCACACCTTGACTTGGTTCTGTTCAGGGCCGAGAGGTCCAAATGTAGCTGGTCTAGTTTCAGAACGTTGTCCTTTAGCAGGAACAGTACAGAACCTGCCCGAACAGCGGACGTGGAACAGACACGGTCTGGTCTCCGTACGGCTTCGGGCCGATGGCGGCTCGTGTGCAGAACCTAACAACCATGTGTCCAGAGAGGAGCTGGTCCGTCAACTGATGGATTCGGGTTTGGATCCGAGCGGAAGCCGTATGGAAACTGGACCGCATCCGTTCACCCCGCCCCCTCCCTGGCTCTCACCCCGGACCTCCCCCGGTCCCTCTCAGCTGATGCTCATGGTTTTTCTCCAGGTTTGTGAAGGAGAAGAGGCCCACCATCTCTCCTAACTTCAACTTTCTGGGCCAGCTGCTGGACTTTGAGAAGAACATGAGAAGTCCTCCTGGTTCTGATGACAGACCGACGATGCCGGGTGCTGATCTTGCTGCTCAGTCAGAGGCGGCCGAGCCCATATGTTGTCCTGAGGCCCCCGAGGAACCCAGTGTGGGCCAGCCGGAGCCTCTGACCCTGCCCTGTGTTCTGGCAGACTCCCCCGAGCAGCTGGTCCAGGTTTTGAGTGGCCTGCAGCTCCCTGACGGGCTTGAGGACAGCGCTCGGTTGAAACGCTCATTTTCTCTGGACATCAAGTCTTATGGCGAGCCTGGAAGCTCCTCCCACTGCAGTTTTGGCGTGTCAGCGGAGGAGTTCTATAAAACACCGTCCTTCAAAGAAACGAGCAGCAAAGCCTGTCAGTTCTCCCCGGTGGAGGAGGTGTCGGAGCAGTCCACTCCAGAGCACAGTCCCGATAAGGACGAGGCCGACAGAGCCGAACCACCGACCTCCAGCCAACCGCTCACACCTCCGCCGGCCTCTTCAAACTGTCCACCCCCGCTGCAGCGTAGTGGCAGCGTGGAGGAGAGTGCTACCAGCTTCCTGTTTGGTGTTCCACAAAGCCAACTGGGTCGTTCGGGCGCCGCCCTAAAGGGCTGGCACTCTGACATCCTTCTGGGGCCTGTCACAGTCTCCGCCTCCTCCATGGCGAGCGGTTGGTACCTCTCAGAGTCCACGCGGTTCTTCTCATCATCAACAATCCTGAGTGGTGCCGGCAGCTTTGCGCCGTATGGCTGCAGCCATGGACTGGAGGCGGTGCGGCGCCGCGGCCGGCAGCGATCTGGAGACCGCGGCGACTCGAGGCGGAGCTGGCACGAAGAGAGCAACTTCGAGAAGCAGCTGAAGCGCCGCAGCTGCCAGATGGAGTTTGGAGACGGGCTGACGGGGAGCAGGTCCAGAGAGGACTTGGTGAAAGGGACAAGCCCGTCCAGCTTCTCTGGCAGCGTGGAGGTCATCCAAGTGTCCTGAGGCTCCGCCCAAACGCCAACAATAATCTTTCGGTCCTAAAGGTTTTAACTGTCAACCCGTCAGTGGGTTCCAGAACGCAGTCAGTGGGCATGATGACAGAGCGGTTCTGATCCGACTCGTCCAGCCAGTAGAACTGTCAGTTTTTCAAACCAGTCCAAGAAAACAAGTCACATGAGAGCAGATCTGGTTCTGAGCAGTCGCGGTGCCTCCAAGGCCTTTCTGCTTCTGTCGATGTTGCTATGAAACAGACCTTTGGTCCAAACAGAACCAGACTCATCCGCCGCTTCATCTTCACAGCAGATCCAACAGTGAGTGCTTTTGGCTGGCAGTAGGGGGCAGAACATACCTAAATTATATCAAGCAAACCGTATTTTTGTGTTGGAGTAAGACCTTGCCAATGGATGCCCATTAGGGTCAAAATCCCCGGGAGCACAACCTCTAGCTGAAGGACGAGCTCATCAGACCCCCTTTCATCGCTGGCAAACAACGTTTATGATTGTCAAAAGTTTTGTAACCGCTCGTAAAAACTTGGTAAATGTGATTCGTCCTCACAGGCTCCCGTAGAGGAAACATGGCGTCACCCACAGACTTGGGCCCAATCCCAACACTCGACCAGGAGTGCGTAGGGTGACCCGATTCTCAACTGTGGAAGTTGATCACGCCCCTTTTGCACCCTTAATCCGCACTTCATCCAAGTCAGCATCGATGTAGACGTGGGTGAAGTGCATTACCCACAATCCATCGCTCAAGTTCCTTTTCTGAAAATATGCATGTTGAAATGAAAATAGTTCATTTTAGGATGATTAGTTGATGCTCTGAATGTTTTAGACAAAGCAGCAACGATTTATTTCAGATAACTGGTTGGTTGTTTGTAAGTTGTTAACTCGTTCGCCGTCATTGACGACTAAAGTCGTCATTTGCATGTTTTTACTGTGTGGGCGTCGGACGAGCCCCCGCACCGTGAGAACAAACATCTCAGCTCTAAAGCCGATCTTCATCCGCGTACGTCACGCGTCACGTGATCAGGAAGTAGAACATCCATGTGTTAGGAGATCGTTTTGGGCCGCTGCTGTAAAAAAAGTGAGGCGCGAACCGGAAAAGCTTCTGCCGATCACAATTCAACAACGGATTATGAAAGAACGGATAACGCTCGAAACGCGCGGATTCTTCCTGATGTAAGAGGTGAGTCTCCGCTTTGTTTTGGTTGTTTTGGCGTCGACATCATCCTAGCGTGTTAACGTTCTGCGACTCTTAAAAAAACATAAACACGGCGAGAAACGCTGGCAGCGAACGAGTTAATAAAGGTTTTTGAAAATAAAAGTATCACAGCGACCAGCATCCTGGCATGTACTGCGATCGATGATGCCGTGCTCCCTGTCTTAGTTCAGCAGTCATTTACACACTCGTGTTGTACGCACTCGAAGCCTTTCTTCGTCCAAGTGCACTTAGCTGAAGACCGCAGGGTGCAGTTCCAGGATTGGGATTGGGCCTCAGACCCGCTCCCATGTAGTTTAGACCCGAGTTTCATGGTTAAATGTTATAAAGACACCAACATTTGTCATTAACTGGGCATCATCTAATTCATTTTAATGGCTATTTCCAGAGATTAATGGTAAAAACTACACATTGTCTCTTTAAAGCAGTTAAATTCTCCTTCAGGAAGCAGGTTCTGGTTCTGTGGGGTTCTATCTGACAGCTGCTGAAATTTAAAAGGAAACTTTTCAGATGAAGGAAGAATGTTCTGTTCGGTTCAGAAAAATTCTGAGGCCCTGAAAAGCAACTGGACTTTTTTATTTTTTTAGTGTTTTCTGGATCGTCTTGTTCTGAAGAACTGGGTCAGAACCAGAACTTGGACCCCCTGAGTGTTGATCATCAGGATGAGAACATTTCAGGTTTTATCCTATAAAACTTTGGTGAATTAACGAAACCCAGACTAAGGGTTTAGTTCCTGTCCTGAAGTTCTGACCCAGATATTGGTTCTGGACCTGAGCGACCACGCAGCCACTGAGGGGTGCTGCTCTGCTTTGTGCATCAATAAAAACATTCCTACATCAGTTCGTTGGTTTTTCTGGTTTTGTTATTTTATGATCAACATCTGATTGGTAATTTATTCAGTTAGCTCAATATTGATCTAATGGATCAGCTGATTGTGAGGATTTATGTTTTTGGGGCAGATGAGTACCCCCCCTATATGATTGGATGAAAGGTCCACTTCAGCTTTAGAATAACAGCTCCTGTTTTGGGCCGATGTTATGGTTCTAAAAGGGTTGGTGTTGGTCCACCTCCAAACTCCACACTGTCTTCTGAAGAGTTGTGTGAGCAGTCCTAGTTTGAAACAGATAAAGTAGAGACATTACAGGCCCATCAGGGGTTTTCTGATCAGAGATTCTGATTTCTGACAGAAAAAATCATCCTCAGCTGCAGGGTCTGTGTTTGTCCAGCAGAGGGCACCCCAACTCTACACAGAAGAATACAGGTCTTGTAATCCCTGAGCGCTGACTGGAAGGTCAGAGGAGTTTTCTTTACATTTTATGGTCATTCTGATTGTGATACAAAGGTTATTTAAACATTAGGGCTCTGTAATTTTCACCAGGTGCTTAAATTTTGTTTTATTATGTTGTAACTGAACAGAAATACTTCAAATAAAAAGCTAGTGATGGGAAATTAAAGAAACTGACAAATAACCAATTGAGCATTTTTCGTTTCTTCAAATAAAACAGTTTTAGTTGTTTTTTGCACTTTTGTTAAAATCATCCATGGGCGTGGCCTCAGAATCTGTTAGCCTGCCAGTCAGCGCCCTGGAAACACTTCCCCCAAGCTAACGCTGCTGCAGAAGGAACCAGAGTCCAGTCCGGTACCAGCGAGCCGCTCGGTGCTCCGTAGCCGGACCGAGGCTCAGTTTGTCGGACGTGCGGCGAGGTGAGGAGTCGGTGGAACCGGATCAGGCCGGTACCATGTTCTTCTGATCGGAGTCGGTGTTGCAGGTGAGTTCGGTTCCGCCCGGAGACGAACAGGTGAGCCGGTGTTGATCAGGATGTTCTCAACGGATAACCGGAACCCAAACCGGGTCACCTAGAAACACAACGAGCGGAGTCACCGACAGGTGCGAGTCCTTCAGTTCGGCTCGGTATCAGCAGAGATGTGGATGCTAGTTAGAAACCAGCGGCTTCCGCTCGTACAGGTAGCAGGTGGGCAACGGCGCACCTGGGCAGGTGGCCGGTCCTAGGTGAGCCGAACCTTCAGGAAGAACACCTGAACGAATCAGCATGTTCACGCGCACACACGTGGAGACAACACAACCGAGTCCTCGTTTGGCTCCTGCTCTGCTGATAGAACTTCTGAAGTTCTGATGTAGATCAGAACCGAGCCGACACACACACACACACACACACACACACACACACACACACACACACACACACACACACACACACACACACAGGATCCTAAATTGAAACTTCTGATTATGAAATAGGAAATAAAAGTTCAGGCTTTTATTTTGAAGGTTTCTACTACATAAATAAGGCTTTAGACTTTATTTAGTGTTTTTCCTTTAGGTTTAAAGTTCAGGCTTTAATTTTGTTAGGAGCAACAGGAAGAGGCTTTAAGGCTGAGCTCAGACGCACGCACCCCTCATTTGTTTTGCATCTTTTCTGATTTAGATTCTTTAACTTGAAGTCGGTTTCTTCCTGTTGCACGGGTTTGGGGCAGGTAGCAGCTCAGTGGCTTAGTGGTGTGAGTGGCCACCCTGAGGCTGGGATATCGTGGGTTCAAGTCCATGGTTCGGTCATACCACAGATGACAAATGGGACCCGCCTCCCTGCTTGACCCTCAGCATTAAGGAGTTGGATTGGGGGGTTAAACCACCAAATGTCCCTGAGCGCAGCCGTGTCTGCAGCTCTCCGCCCCCCATGGGGACGGGTCAGATGTGGAGAACAAAGGTTACACACCAGGGAAAGTCCTGCCTTTTAAACACGTTTCCTGGACTTGTGCAGATGAAAGCCGAGTTGTGATGCACCTTTGGGTCCGGTGTGTTGTGTAGCGGGTCTTTCTCTAGCAGGATTAAGGTCCACAGCCAGTTCTGTTGACAGAAACCTCCCACTCTGAGCCTGGTGAACCAGGAGTTTCAGGTGGGTCGGTGATGTTACGGCTTTACTGGTGACGTTATGGCCGCCTGGGTTCAGACCAGGTTCTAGTGTTGCGATTCCCGGGCGTCTCCTGGGAGTCTTGTTTGTTTGGTTGTCCTGGAGACGGAGCGGTGTAACCATACCTGCCAGCTGTGACCTGCCGAAGGAGCAGTAAAGGATCAGGAGTCGAGTTGCAGGAGGAGCAGGCGCGACGGGACCAGAACTCAACCACAGGGCCAGATCCACCTGGGGGCAGCGGGGATGAACTGCCGAACCCCTCAAGCCCGGGACATTCTAATGGCTGGAGAGGTCCGCACCCCTGATTGGGTTTTATGGTAAAGTCCTCAACAAGGCTGGTCTCAGATCAGTTCAGAGAATTGTTCTGATCCGGTTGTGGGTTTTACCAACTCAGCAAGAAACTTAGATAAAACTCACCAAGAACTCATCCAAAACTGCAGGGCTGCAACAACGAACGGATAAAATCGATGAAGGAACGCGTCGGCAACGCTTTTCATCATCCATTCGTTGTGTTGTGCAACCTTAAAGTATCGTTCCGGAGTTTTCCCCTTTCAGAAAACTGTAAAAGTGATGACCTCATCATGTACTGTGATGTAATGTAGGCAATACGTCATCCAAAGATGTCGCCCGTGCAACATCTGTTCCAGGTACGTTTGCCCAGAACTTTATTGAACAACGGTAAGCTGCTTGCTTTTGTGTAAGGAGGAATCTTTTTACTGGCGCACACCAGGCTGAACTAGGTGCTGTGGAGGAAAACAGAAACCGTGCAAAGTTTGCAGGGCTGCACAATATATCAGCATCAATATCGGTATCGGCCGATGTCGGTCATTTTTTAACATATCGTATCGGTCCGATAAATAGAACCGGGCCGGTATTAACAACGATAATTTCTCCATCTGGTCTCCATTTGTTTTCCTGTTTCAGAGGGTGTGGGGGGTGTACTTGTTTAGTCGTGTGAACAGCGACTGAAATCCTCTCAGAACCATAAATGTGTGTGTCGTGTGTGTACTTAATAACGTAAATTCAGCTTTTATCATTTCCATTCTATACAAAATCTGCTGGTTTTAGAAGCATTAATATCGGTTATCGGCCATAACAGTGCTCTTAATATCGGATATTGGTATCGGCCCAAACATTTCATATCGGTGCATCACTAAAGGTTTGGGATGATCTACGGGCAGATTAGCTAACGTCAGTGGGGAGCACGATCGAGTGGGCTTCTGAAAAAGCACGCTGGCTGTGAAACTAAGAAAATCTAAAGTCCAGCGGAAGGAAAGCGCCCACCATCCTGTTAAAGCTGGCTGCAGCGCTACGGAGCAGAACCGCGGCGTCAGGTTGCTGCTTCCAGTCTGCTCTGCTCAACACCGCTGCAGGACTATCGTTCACCTGTACATGATAGATGGTCACCGTTACATTTTTAGCAGTAGAAATGAAATGTTAGCATTCCAGTAGCTTCCTACTGAACATGTTAATGAAATACACGATTTTACTGATCATAGTTCGACTATGGATGTATTTAGGTGATGGCATGTTGTTTTGCACACCGTTGAACTGTTTTCTAGTCGTGTTGTGTTTGTAAAGCAGAGAAAAATGTTTCCCTAGCAGTTTAAAATGTTCCCGTTTAATCCAGTTAATGGTTAGATGTTGGTCTTCTGGTATGCTAACCAGACGGTGCGGGTCAGGTGGGCCTACCGTATATCTGCACCATCTCAAGTCTGTAATGGAGTCAGGCAAGGAAGCATCTTAGCACCTGTACTGTTTAACTTTTACATGAATGACCTCTCCAGGCAGTAAAACGTGTAGAGCTGTTGGGTTGGAGGTGCAACAGTCACCTACTGTATGCTGATGACTTGGTGGTGTTCAGCCCAAGTTCAGCTGCTCTCCAGCGTCTCCTTCAGGTGTGCTCTGGTGAACAACGTGATGTAAGTACGATCCGGCTAAAAGTGTTATTCTGATCTGTCGAACCAAAGAGGACAAATGCATGACACCTCCAGGTTTGAAGCTGTCTGACAGTCTGCTGAGAGTCTCAGACCAAGTCAGATATTTGGGTCATGTGATCACAGATCGCGTGACTGATGATGAGGACTGTTACGGTTGCCAGTCTGGCCAGGGAAGAGCAGGAGCCAGGATCCCCCAGCTCTGAAACAGCTGACACCGCCCCTCCTCCTCCTCTCTCCCGGGCTGCTACAGCCAACACCTGCACAGAAAGGCGGTGCCTGCAGCAGTGCTGGGGTTCTGCTGTCCTCCTGGGTTCTGGTTTTTAACAACACCTGTCGGGGACGTAACAATGACGTTTACCGTCGGTGCCGGGCGTTACACGCACAAACCTTCTCGGAGGTTTAGTTTTTGTTCTAATGACGTAAAAGTGAATTGGTTTAGATGGTGCTGCACTTCGCCGTTCACCGCTCACCTACGGTGGAATTAGACAAAAGCAGCCGTCAGAGACAACAAGTGGCTTTCAGCGATGCCTTAAGACTCTTGGCCCAGATGGACCAGTGCAGCCTCTGCTGGTGTCAGCATGTCCAGCGCTGTCTGAAGGACGTTTATCTGTTGACTGAATACATCCGTTAGCGGTGCAACCTCTCTGCTGACTCCCAGTGGAAACGGTGCTGCACGGTACTTCTGTACTTTAGAGCCTCTGTTTTAACCGAAACACGAGTTTTACTTTTCTTCCCGTTGTTGTTCTCATCTTTCTATGTTTTTACTGAGCTATGGACCACGGGTCTGCAAATCAATTTCATTTCAGTCGAGTCGAGACCCGATCCAATTCATCAATGATCCAAATAATCGTAATAAAGACACTCCCCATCACGCGCTCTGCGCTCCTCTGACCAAGGCCTGCTCGCTGTCCCTCGGTCTAGGTGTCGTACCCGTGGGGACCGGGCTTTCTCAGTCCTAGCACCGTCACTCTGGAACCAGTTGCCACCCTCAGTCAGGCTGTCCCCTTCTCTGCCAGTCTTTAAGAATCACCTAAAAACACACCTCCTCCGCTTGGCGTTTCCAGAACATGTTTGAATTTGGCCCTCCTTTATGTTGATTTTATCTCACAGTTTTCATTGGTTCACTCTATCCCTTGTTTTACACAGTTGTCCTGTACCAGAATGTTTCACCTATTTTGTAATTTGAATTGCTTTTATTTTTGATTTATTCAATATATTTACCTTCTACTGAACCATGTTCAGCGCTTTGGGCTTCCTGACAGGGTTGCGGAAGGCGCTTTATAAATAAAGCTTTGATTGATTGATTGATAATGATACATTTTCAATTTATTACCCATCCCTACGTCACACTACGTCAAAACCACACAAACCACGTTGGGACCCATTTTTTCCCCAGGTGAAGAGCTAAAATTAATATCAGATTCTGCCAATAAAAGGGCTCTAAAACAATTCATATGTAAATATTTAGCATATTTACTGCAAAATCTCATTTTTCTGCTGCTTTAGTGCTGCAACAAGGTTTTATTAATAATAAATTATTATACCTTTTGTTTTACTACAGCATCGGTACGCTTCCTGTGTACAGATTATTAAGGATGCTTGTTTCAGCTGTGAGATTAGACGATAGGATCAATGATAAAATAAGTTTGTCATTGAATCTTATGTTTATGTTTATTTATTTATTTGGCAGACGCTTTTATCCAAAGCGACTTACAATCTATAACCTATAGGGCATGTTGTGATCTGTGGGGGAACCGGAGTACCCGGAGGGAACCCACACATGCATGGGGAGAACACACAACTCCACGCAGAAAGGCTGCAGCCGAGTTTCGAACCTGCAACCTTCGTGCTGCGAGGCAACAGTGCTAACCACTGCGCCACCATGCAGCCCAGAGAATC